ACCTTCCGATACGTTTGGTAGACTCATCCTTACCCTGTTAAACCTTGCCAGGAAGTCCCTGAGTCCCTCTCCTGTGTTTTGCCTGATGGCGAAGATGTCGTTGACCCTGGCCTCCGCTTTCTTTGCGCCTGCATGGGCTGTGACGAATTTATCCGCCATTTCCTCGAACGTTGATATTGCCTTAGCCGGTAGCTGAGAGTACCATGTTAAGGCCCCTCCTGTCAACGTCTCGCCAAACTTCTTCAGCAGTACCGACAGTACCCGTTCTTTCGATAGGTCGTTGCCCTTCACAGCGGTGACGTAGTGGATCAGATGATCCTCGGGATCTGTGGTTCCGTCGTATACCCTTAAGTAGGGTGGCATCTTGAAGGTTTTTGGGGTGGAGTGAGGAGCAGCTTCTTCGGTGTATGGTTGTTCAACGAACCTTCCCACGTCGCGTTTTGGTAGCAACTTGGGAGCACCGGGGATCTTGTCGACCCTCTCCTGATGTTCCTTCATCTGACCACGGAGCGCCTTGTTTTCATTTTCCATTTCTTCCATCTTCTTTAGGATGGCTGTTAGCGTGCCATCGTTGGTCTGTGTCTCGATGGGTCTGTTATTTACTAGTGTAGCTTCCGGTTCACCCACGGCAGCAGTGGTACCTACCGTTGGTATACATACGATGTTATTTTGCGGTGACCTCTCAACCAAGCCACTTAGAGTGCTTGTTAGCCATCTTTCCGGTAGCTCTTTGACCGCTGAGGGTGCTTCCGTAGCCGCAGATGTGGAAGCTCCTTTTTCGTGCAAAATCGTCAGGCCTTCGGATGGGGAAGGTGAGATCTCTGCACCTGGTGTGATGCTAGGGGTTGCATTCAAGATGCCACCGTCACTGGCCTCGTTGAGAGGGCCCAGGAGATTGGTAGTGACACCCAATATGGCTTTCGATCTTGTGCTATTTTCTGCCATTTTTCTGTTTTTGTATAGTGTAGAGAGTGGTAGTTGGTTGATCTCTAGGTGGATTCTATGATTTTGATTCTCGAAATCCCCACAGACGGCGCCAAATTGTTTGGCTCAAAAGTTAACGATATACTTTGTAAGCGATAAAACAATCAAAAATAGAAAAGGGGTAAATCGTAATCAAATATAATAAACCTAGAGATGCAAAAATGATAATATTGTTGTAGATCTGATATTGCAAAGTGATAATGTTTACCAATAAGATATTTTCGTTAGAGGTAGAGATATAGAGAGAGAAAGCCAGAAAAATGAGAGAGTTGTATTAGATCAGATCCCCCTTTTACAATGTGGAGGTCTCCTTTATATAATAGGAGACCTTCCTCGAAAGAATCAAAAAGTTACAAAAATAGGTAACGTCTCCCTATCGTGGACGCTGAGTTCTAAACGATGTCGCTTTTGTCCTCACGGCCGAGTCGTACCCGCTACGTTGGTCGGCGTACACTCATTGGGCGTACCCACTACCGTAGAGATACCGATGGTCAAATTTGACCCTATACAACTAGCTGCCGTAACAAAGCACCGAAGAAGCCATGGAGCATAATTCCAGCATGTATATGTTGAATTTCATGGAAATTGAAATTTGAGGTATTTTCAATGCAAAACAAGGGTTTAGGAGTTAGGACTATTTGGAGGGCATAAGGAGAATGTGACTTAGAAATTACTATTATTTTTAAATAGAGTTAGTAATATTGTGTCTTGAGTTTGGGCCCGGGCTCAGCACGGGCTAGCCTCCTACTAGTTTAGTATAACAATCCTAAATGGTACAAAAATCATTTGTAGAAGCTTTGACAACAATGACTTACATGCAGAAATTATGATCGGTAATGTGCAAGCACGCATGTCTCTCTCTAATTCAACTTTTAACAATGAAGTCGTTAAATAGGCTCACCATTCATGAGCTTATATTTTCCTCTTAAAAATTTGTGTTACTCATCAGGTACATATTTTAATGTTATTTGTAGTGTTTTATGTATTGATTAACAAGGGATACACGTACGTGTCTAGAAACTAGTAGAAGTATAAGCAGAGACGAATCTAGAATTTTTAGTACATGGATGCACTACTAAAAAAAGGGAGAAAAAATATATTAATTGGGAATTGATCCCTATTCCTTTTGGTAGGGGTGTACATGGACCGGGTTGGTTCGGTTTTTATCAAAACCAAACCAAACCAACTATATCGGTTTGGATTGGTTCGGTTTTGTCGGGTTTTTCGGGTTTTCGGGTTTTTTGTTACTTAAATATTATTTCAATCTTACTTTGTTAAATATTTGATACGTATACATCTATTTAGTAAAAATATAAAAAGTTGACAAACATATTATCAATTAAAATATTCTTATGCGAAATTCCATTAGTTAACACATAATAATTAATTTTTTAGTTGTCTGAGGTTATCCGAATTTAGTAATTAAACATAAAAATCAATATGATACCTAAATATTAATAACCATTTCACATTCGAAAAAGATATAAGAATTTAATACATCTTAACATATGATATGAATATGTAAGAACAAAGAGATAGACGTATTTTAGTAAAACTTGATAAGAAACTGATCATACAACCCATAATTTAAGGTCAATAAATAGGGAGCACTTCATATTCTATTAAAATTTATATCCCGCAAGAGAATCCCAAATATTTCTAGATATTTTTTTAGTAGAATTTTATATAAAATCTTAAATAATATATATAAAAATTATATATTTATATGTCGGGTCGGTTCGGGTTTTTTTATTCAATACTATACCAAATCAAACCAAACCGAGTCGGATTTTTTAATCGGTTTGGTTTGACTTTTCGGTTTGGTGCGGTTTTTCGGTTCGGTTTGTACACCCCTACCTTTTGGTAATTAACTCAACCTTAAGCCATGTGCACCATTCAACATTCTTAGAATATGAGTGCCAACAGTTAATATTATGCCAATTTTACAAAATATGTACATAAAATATTTAATTTTGCAGAGAAATCATGGGTTCACGTGCCTATATTTTTGTATATAAATCCGCCCCTGAGTATAAGAATAGGAAATACTAGACTACACAAGTATTGCAGGTATGGAAAAGCAACACAGGTATGAAAGAGAAATAGGCTCGACTACTTGCTAAACTAGTACCCTAATCCTCGATCTTCACACCCTCCTATCAAGAATCACCCACTTCAATACTTCTTCGGCCTACCTCTACCTCTCCTTGGCCCCATCGTAGCTAACCTCTCATACCTCCTCACTGGGCATTTGTGCATCTCCTCTTCACATGTTCAAACCATCTTTGTCTCGTTTCTCGAATCTTATCCACCACAAAGGCCACTTTTACCTTGTTCCAAATATCTTTATTCCTATCATATTGTTGCCCACACATTCATCTCATCATCCTCATTTCGTTATTTTCATCTTCTGAACATGAAAGATCTTAACTGGCCAACACTCTGCCTCATACAACATAGTCGGTTAACACCACTTTGTAGAACTTAACGTTAAGTCTCGGTGGTACATTCTTATCACACAAGACGTTGGATGTGAGTCTCCATTTTATCCGCCACGCTCCAATATAATATATAACATTATCGTCAATCTCCGCATTATAATTCAAAAAACACTTGGCTAATAGTTTTATGAAATGTAATTCCTTGTGCCAATAGGCCAGGATTATCTCTAAGATAAAACTTTTTGGAACTTTTGTAAGCTCTGCCTTTACTAAGAAAGCTCCACATGTTATTATGAAGCATTTACTCTTATCTACTAAATTAAATAGGAATAACAGCCTTTTTAATGAAAAAACAACTAAAGTATTGGAATTAATTGTGGTTCTATAAGTTTGCTATTTTGAGAAATAACAGTAAATAAACTCAGATATACCTGCTATTGTGCCCACCCTCCGTTCATCTCTTTTCTGCTCTTAATTGTCTACTCCTACACCCTCACTTTTATACCTGCTTGATCTAAGAACTCGTATTTTTTCAAAAGGTTGAGGACTAAAAACCATTAAAATTATTCATGCAACGTATCCAATTCAAGATGCTAATTCACCGTACAAGATGACTCTAAAATATATATATATATATATTATATATATATATATAATATATATCATATTTTTTATGAAATTTGAAATAATTTAACTATTGAGTTTTTCATTTATATACTTTAATAAAATTTATAATAAAAAAATATAAATTTATTTTAGATCATAGATTTTAAATGTATTTATTTTTTTCTTAAATTTCGTCCCGAATCAAACAACTCACTTAAGTTAGGACGATGAGAGTATACATAATAATTTGGAATATTTCTGCAATTGTTAGAAAACTCAAGGGTCTCATTGTGAAAATTAAACTCCCGTTCTCTTAAGCTTTTTGACTTCATATTAATTATAGCGATGGGTGGTTATTGATGATGAAACTGATGCGAACGAGAAAAGGATATAGAATTAAACTGGAAAACCAAAATACTTTACGATTAATTAAACAAAAGTTAAGTACTCCCTCCGTTCACTTTTACTTGTCCACAATTGACTTTGCACCCCCTTTAAGAAATAACAAATAAAGTGGGTATTTTACCATGATATCCATATTAATTGGTATATAGTCTTAATGGATTTGAAAAATGATTTTGAATGAGTAATTAATGTAAGAGCAAAACAGGAAAAACAAATTATTTTTCTCCTGATATGCGAAAATGGACAAGTAAAAGTGAAAGTCTATTTTTAGAATAGTGGACAAGTAAAAGTGAAGAGAGAGAGTATATCTAACACCACATTCACTTGTCAAAAGGGCAGCCGCCGAGTACACAAAGCATCCCGCATTCACGTAGAACCCAGGAAAGAGCCGCCACCCCAAGGAGTGTGATGTGAAACGTCTATCCTAATACAAGCATTAGTGGTTGCTTCTATGGCTCGAAGCCCGACCTATAGGTTACACGGAGACAACTTTACCATTACTCGTTACCATTCACTTCTCACTCAAATGGAGAGGCTGTAATTTTAGGCAACTGACAAGATACCTTACTAAAGCATGCAGTATGTTAATCCAATCAAATAAAACATGTTTCATAGGTAACAATCCACATGATAGAAGCAAGTTCATTTGTTCTGAACAAAGATGATTAATTTCCTACACTTGAAGAGACACAGAAAAGCTAAACCTCCCTCTTTCCACTACATACTCTCAACCATGATAGAGGAGCAGAATAAACATCTAACAAACAGTTCACTTTCTCTTCTTAGCAGGTGGTTGATCTTCTTCCTCGTCGTCATCGTCATCTTCCTCTTCCTCTTCCTCATCATCATCGCCTTCCTCATCACCATCCTCGTCATCTTCATCGTCATCATCGCTCCCTTCGTTACCATTAGCCTCAGGATCCGCCTCAGGATCTCCTTCTTCGTCATCATCTCCAGCTTCTTCACCGGAGAAATCTTCATCATTTGCATCATCCTCGTCATCCTGATCCTCAGCATCTCCATCATCATCTTCATCATCATCCTCTGTATCACTGCCATCTTCGTTCTCAGGACAAGCATCGTTCTTTTGATCAAGCAACCCAAAGGGAAACCTGTAAATTGACACCGGCATACTTGTTATAGTTTGTTTCATGGAACAACCAGTTAGTGACACCAAGAATATAGGAGAAATGAATACTGAGTACCTTTTATCGGGGCTAACCAACTCTGACAATGGAGCAGCGCTTAGCAACTCTGAGAACGGAGCAGCTGCCAACGGAGCACCATCCTTCAGCAAACATCCTGTCTGAAATCCAAAATGTTTCACAAGGGAATCTAGGAAAAAAATCTTGAGGAACAAAAAGTTCCCAACCGGTGCATAATAAAGGTAAATGAAACATCACTGGAAAAACAGAAATGTGAACTGCATAAGCTTAATCACAAGTAGCAAACAAGAAATTTCACAGCACTAAACTGAAAAAACAAATGCGATTACGCTTACTGAGGCAGAACGACCGATATTCGAGTGCATATACACAGATAAACCACATAATTATGCTTTTCAAAGAGCACTAGACATAGGAAATGCCTGCATACATAAAAACTCTTTAGCATTTGTATTTACGGCCATGACAAGGAGACCATTTCATCCAAAGAGGTTGCGTAGGTTGGACGCAAATAGCTTGACATGCCACTATACTTTTTTTATGCGCTGGTGTCTATGCCAGCTTGCTCACACCTTGATATTTCCACCTTCCACTTGCATCATCCCACCAATACAAGTACCGGGTGACTTTCACCAAGGCTTAGGCAGATGAGAGAGATGCTACAAGACATATTTAATTGTTAATCGCAAATAAAGCACAGCCACTTAGAGATGGCAATGGGGCAGGGCGGAGCGGTTGTGGTGCGGGTTCTGCCTCAACCCGCAAAGACTTCAACCCGACCCGTCCCATTCTATCCCGCATAGCAAAATTTTCTGTTTTCAACCTGTCTGCCCGGCCGCGCATATAAGTACTTTCATTTTTGTCATTTTCAATGAGTTGTTTTTCTTGCATATGCTTACTTCAAATTCTAAAAATTTACTACCCAGCTGTTTTCTGTTAATCCAGTTGTTCAGAAACATCCTTGGGACATTAAACCTGCCACCTAAGTTATAAGAATGTTTCTATTTCAGGTATAAGATGAGCGAATGCAAAGGAAAGCTCTGTATAATGATTTTAAAATGAAAAAGAAAATATCCACACGACATTTGCAACCAAAAGTAATTAACAGAGGATGAACAAAGAACGAAATGGAAAGATGAAGTATAATTTACGCAAACATAAAAAAGAAAATACCAAACAGAGAAAATCTTTTTAACATAACTGAAAATCAAGACTTCTCCTTCTTTAAGCGCCATTTTAATCTCGTCTCAGCACGAAGAAATAAAAGGAAAAGAAAAGGATAAAGTGTAGTAATAGAAAGTGGGTGGAAAAAAAGTGTAATAGAAAATGGAATACAAAATAAAGTATGACTTTGAAAACTCTTTAGATATAATTAGCTTCCATTCTTAGGACACTTTGAAAACAATCTGATGCATAGTTAAAAAAAAAAAAACGCTCAAACCCACAACCGCCCGCAACCGTTTTGATTCTTTAAAAAATGTTTGAACCCACCCCGCCCCGCCCGCGCACCACCCCGCATAAGTTTAACCCGCGCACTGCCCCCCATGAGCTTAAAACCGCCCCGCTACTGCACCACCTCGTTGGCATACCCATAGCCAATATTCAAATCTTCAGCCACTTCTCATCTCCAAAGTTTGTAGACCAGCAAGGCTATAAGTATTCGTAAAACTTAACGTCCTAGCAAGGCTCACACAATTCAGCACGGGATTTTGGAAGCCTATACCTGTGGATTGCAACCCTCTACTCTTTTGACTGCTGAAATACCATCACGAGATGAAACTGGTCCTGGCAATAACCCTGGATTACCTCTAAGATAAGGCCTCGATGGAACTTTTGTAAGCTCCGCTCGTACTATAATGGCCCCACATGTTATTATAAAAAAGAAGAGCAAGAACATGGCATACTTTGGCGCCATTTTGACTGACAGAACTAGTGAAAGGAAACCTGCGATGGGGCTTAAGAACACAAGATTCACAGAAACAAGGTGAGAGTATTTACACAATTGCTTGGAATAAAGAATTGACTTTCAATGCTAGTTTAGTAATAGGTTACTTCACGTTTGATACATTTATTAGCCTACTAAATGAAGCCAATGTAACAGCCTTGTTAATGGTACAGTTTCAATATTTATGTATTGGAAATTTCTGTTTCATAAGTTCTTAGTATTTGGACAATAATAGTCAAACAGGTTGAAAGATCTGTGTATTAAGTGTAACCAAAAGTTTTCTAAACCTAAACGGGCAGCCCAGTGCATAAGGAATCCCGCATTCAGGCAGGGTGCAGGAAGCGCCGCACCCCAAGGGATATAATGTAGACACTTAACCTAATGCAAGCATTAGTGGCTGCTTCCACGTCTCAAACCCCGTGACCAGTAGTCACATGGAGACAACTTTACCGTTGCTCCAAGTCACCCCTTCAAAAGTTTTCTCAACCTAAATAACTAAATCTAGACATGTTACAGGTGAAGGCCTGAACAACCAAAATGCAGTGAATATCCAAATCCATAAAAACTAAATAGTTCCAATTAACAAACAGTACCAATAAAGAAATAAACAGAGTTCTCCAGTAAACAGTGACTTAAAAGAACACAGTCCATACGCACAATTTTATGTTGTTACTTGGAACACAATAACAAACACATAAACTAGAAACTTAACTACAACGACAACAAACTCAGTGTAATTCTACAAGTGGGGTCCGTGGAGAGTCTATACGCTACCTTACCCCTACCTTGTGTGAAGGTAAGAGATGTTGTTTTCGATAGACCCTCCGCTCAGGAAAAGCATAGTCACAAACTAGAAATTTAACTAAAACAGATAAATTTATCAAATCCCACAACATAAAAATCAAAACTTTACAAGAAAAAAGACCAAAAAAACAGCAAGAAACAAAAAAAGAGCAAGAAATCCAAACCCCCACAACATAAAAATTAAAACTTTACAAGAAAATAAGAAAGTGTAAGTTGGAAAAGTGTGTTAATACCATAATGAGCAGAGAAGCAACAGATCTCTGAGCAGCCAAAAGGGTCTCAGCTACAACAACTTCAAGAACAGAGTTCATCACTATTTTCCCAAAAGCAACTATATCAGAGCTGAAATTATTCACTTCCATTTTTACTATCCCTAAACAAAATTGCCCAAATTTTTTTTCTGAAATAATGCTAAAAACAGAGAGAGAAGAAAGAGAAACCAATAGTAATACTTTTGAAAAGAGTAGTTGAAAGATTTGGAAGAGAGAGAGACAGATGAGGAGAGAGAAAGGGAGAGTTCTTCTGGGCTAGGGTTGTTTGGACTTTGAGTGTACTGTCCAGTAGGGTGGGGGTTGGTTGGGGGTGGGGTTGATGAGAAAAAGAAAAATGGAAAAAAAAATATATATAGGAGGGTTTTTGGCAATTGGGAGTTAGGGTTTTGTGGACGTGAATTCAAACT